TGGCAAAGTTGGCTGCTTGGGGAGCTCCTGGATGGGGCCAGAGCCCCACCTCAGGGCTGAACTGTGTCCTGACCCACTGGCTGACCTCCAGGCCTCAGTTTCCCTATTCACAAGGGAAGGCCAACTGCATGTAAGCAGAAGCCTGACTTCAGAAATGAAATTGTTTTGCTACACAGGCGGGTGCTTGTCGCAGGTAAAGGCACAGAAGCCCAATGGGCCACTGAGGCTTCATGGCCACCGGCAGCCTCCATGCCCCGGAGCCTGTTTCTCCTCCATGAAATGGGGCTAATGAGACTTCCTCCAGGCCGGGCGCGGTGGCTCACACCTGTAATCCCAGCACTTTGGGAGCCAAGGCGGGCGGATCACTTGAGGTCAGGAGTTTGAGATCAGCCTGGCCAACATGGTGAAACCCCGTCTCTACTAAAAATAGAACAATTAGCCAGGTGTGGGGCCACACACCTGTGATCCCAGCTACTCGGGAGGCTGAGGTAGGAGAATCGCTTTAGCCCAGGAGGCAGAGGTTGCAGTGAGCTGAGACTATGCCGGTGCATTCCAGCCTGGGTAACATAGTGAGACTGTCTCAAATTAAAAAAAGACTTTCTCCAGTATCTGTGCTTGGGATGATTAAATGAGACAGTGCAGAGTCTTTGAGACATCAGCCTCCCCCAGCATCCCATCACTCCATCACAATACAACACTTCCACTCTGCTTATTTTCTTTTTTTCTTTCTTTTTTTTGAGATGGAGGCTCCCTCTGTAGCCCAGGCCGGAGTGTAGTGGTGAGATCTCGGCTCACTGCAACCTCTACCTCCCAGGTCCTGGTTCAAGCAGTTCTCCTGCTTCAGGCTCCTGAGTAGCTGGGATCACAGGCACGCACCACCACACCCAGCTTATTAGTAGAGACGGGGTTTCATCATGTTAGCCAGGCTGGTCTTGAACTCCCGATCTTGTGATCTGCCCACCTTGGTCTCCCAAAGAGCTGGGATTACAGGCGTAAGCCACCATGCCCGCTCTGCTTATTTTCTTAAATAAGTGTATTTTTAGAGGCTACTTGGTAGCACTGTCATATGTGGTGGATCAATGTCACTTGCCATAAATAGATTACACATTAAAAGTCACCCTTCACAATAGTGCTAAAACTCAGCCATCTGTGTCCCACCCAAAATCAGCTCACACAGCCCCAGATTTGGAGACACTGTGTGATGAGGATGTAAGTAACAAGCTTCTCGGGCAATGATGGTAGAAAGGCAGGCAGAGGGGACATGATTTCTAATTCAATCCTGCAAGCTTGCTGTTAGGGTTCACGTATGGCTGCCTTTCTTTTATCTTTCTTCCCCCTCTCCCTCCCTCCCTTCCTTCCTTCCTCTCTGTCTCTCTCTCTCTTTCTTTCTTTCTTTTCTGGCCCCCTCCCCTCCCCTCCCCTCCTCTTCCTTTTTTTGAGACAGAGTCTTGCTCTGTCACCCAGGCTGGAATGCAGTGGTGAGATCTCGGCTGACCCCAGCCTCCACCTCCCGGGTTCAAGCAGTTCTCCCGCCTCAGGCTCCCCCGTAGCTGGGACTACAGGCGTGCGCCACCACGCCCAGTCAACTTTTTGTATTTTTAGTAGACATGGGGTTCCACCATGTTGGACAGGCTGGTCTCAAACTCCTAAGCTCAGGCAAGCTGCCCGTCCCAGCCTCCCAAAGCGTTACGATTACAGGCATGAACCACTGCTCCTGGCCTGCCTTTCTTTCGTATTAGGTAATTAAAAAAATTACAGTTAAAAATCAGCAAAGGCGAGAGGGAGGTGTTTCATACCTTTACATGAATGACGTTGTTTTAACATGAGAAAAGCAAGCGCTGGTGAGGAAGCCAGCGCTCATGCAGGTTCACGTGTGTGTCGGAAGCGTTGGCCTGGACAGATGGCAAGCAATATGGAAACACAAACAACTGACCCAGGGCCTTGGAAATAGACACAGCCTGAACACTGATCCCAAGGAAACAGCCCCCCACCCCATGTAACGAGACCCCTGCTGAGACTCAGACCTGCTGGTGGTCATTGTCCACGTCCCGTTATTTCCGTGTCCGTCCTTGTTCACCCTGCCCCGGCAACGTCCGCACGTCCGCACCGGTCAAGCTCTTGTGTTGGGGGCTTTGTGCTTTCTTGAAGCAACTTCCCCCAACCCTGGTATCCAGGTATCCCTTCCTGTCCCCCTCAGAAAGGTCAGAGCTGACCCTGGTGTCCACAGAGGTGCCTGCCCAATGCCCCCGCACTCCTTTGTGTGTTTTCTCCGGAGCACTTATGCCCACCCATCATGGTCCAGCTCGTGGTTAGTTGCTGTTTATTTGGTTTACTATTCATCTCCCTGAACTACAGAATGCCAGCTCCTGAGGTTGGGGACTTGCTCACTGCTGCATCCTCAGCACCCAGAGGAGCATCTGGCGGGCAGGAGAGGCTCGGTGGATGTTTGTTGAGTGAATAAATGATGCTAACAATGGAGACAGTCCAGACCTCTGAGCTAGTTAGCGCACAGACACTCAACCCACAGTGTGGAAACGTGGGAACTCACGGAGAGGAAAATCTCAAGGTGGACTCACACCTGCGGTGATTAGTTACATCCCCGTGGTGTGTTCACGGCCTTTGCAAGGAGCACAGAGGCAGGGCGAGAGAGGACAGAGGATACATTCTCACTCCCTGTCTCCGAGATCTGAACAGCCCAGGGTGAAGCTGTCCACTCAGCAAGCCCATAAAAGAAAATCCCACGGCCCATGCACTGCTGTGGTCTGTCCCCTTGCTGGCAGGAGGGACGGGACTGGCTGGGCCTGGATCTGGTCAGCCACCGTTGGCAGGACCCTGCCAGTGGTCCATTGTGTGTCTCTCTGTTCTAGGTCTCTCGGTGGTCCGGCAGTCCCCGGCTGGACGGCATCCAGAATCGTTTCCATTTCCAAACAGCTTCAGGAACGTAGGCACCTTCCTTTGAGTTGAGTCGCCTGTCCAGGGTGAGATGGTGGTGAGGGCCCCACCAGGTCCCATCTTTGAGCCGGAAGCAGGCAGGAGGGTGACTCACCCCGGCCCAGCCCTGGGGTGAGTCTGTTTATGGATGCACCAAATGGGACAAGGCGTAACTGCAATGCAATGGTAAGGGTCCTTCGGGGAGAACTGCCGTAAACACCTGCTAGGGATCTAAAGCAGACTGTGAGTCCTGGGTGAACAGGGGCGTCCCTCTCACTCTGCCTAGAGCGTGTGCATCTTCAGGGTCTTCACAGTGACACTGGGGACAGGGGCCTTTGGAATAGTATTATGAGACCTGAAAAAAATAAAATGTGGTGTCAGACCCATGCCAGGGCTCAATGGATGACTAGATCGTCATCATCACCATTACCGTCATTGTTATTTCCATGCTGGCAACACAGGGGGCTCACACTTGGTGGTGTAAGTTCCATGACATTGGACAAATGTTATGGGGACATGATGCTCTTATTAATTGTTATTATTATTATTTTGTTTTGAGTATTAATTATTAATTGACTATCATTAATTATATCAATATCATTTTGGATTGTGAATATTATTTATATTTATTATTAATGTTTTACACTGACAAATGATAATTGTATATTAACATTATTTCACATTGACAAGTATGCATATTAATTGTATATTAATATTATTTTGCACTGACAAATGGTAAGCTTATATTTATGTGATGCTTTGATACCCGTGAGCAAGGAGATGGATATGTTAATAGCTTGATGGAATCATTCCTTATTGTATGTTTATCAAAACATTACACTGCCCCCCGTAGACACTTGAATCTCATCCTCTGTTGGTGGGCTTTGGGCCAAGAGGGAAGAGTGGGATGGCTGCTTCTGGAAGCCTTTCTTCTGATGATTGTAGGAGGAATTCTCCTAGCCAGCTCTCTTTCTCATTCTGAGAATATGTCTGAGCAATGTGGCAAGGCTGAGGAGAGTCCTTTGAGGGCTCAGCTATCCTGACTTCAAGGTCCTGACACCTCCTTGGCATTGACTTAAGTACACACGAAGATCTGCACACAGATGTATGCAGAGGCTGAATTCCTAATCACCCCAGACTAGAAACAAATCAAATGTCTTTCAACTGAAGAACTATGAACTAATGGTGGTACATCCATTCAATGGAATACTACTGAGCCATGAAAAAGAACAAGCCAAATGGATGGTCCAAAATGCTCTGTGCTAAGAAGCTGACTCAAAGGCTACACATTGTATTATTCCATTTATGCGATGTTCTGGAAAGGGCAAGATTGTAGGTGCAGGAAACAGGTTTCATGTTTCCCAGGAGCTGGGAGAAGGGAAGCAGGGTGAGGAGGTTTTTTTGTGATTATGAGACTGTCCTGGGCCTCAGCTGTGGCAACAGGTACACAGCTGTGTTTGTCAAACTCACCTAACTGTACACTTTAAAATGGTGAATTTTATTTGTATGTACATCTTACTCTAATAAAAAATGTTTAAAATAACAACGTCATATGAATTTGTTGACAAAAAAAGGTCCATGTTAAAACATTTGTCTTTGTTTTAGGAGTTTTGGTTGCAAGTGACAGAAACCTTAACCCTTCTGCAAAACTGGGAACATGCTGGCTCATGTGAGGAGAGAACCCAGCGGTAGACCTTAGGCACCACACGACCGAGAAGGTGACAATGACGGCATCAGAACACCATCTCTGTGCATCTGCTGTCCTATGCTGGCTTCACTTTCAGGCCAATGCAAGGGACTTTTGTAATTCCCATGGGAAGAGAGAGTCCATATTCAGACCACTCTGACCGAAATTCCAGGTAGAACTCTGATTGGTCCAGCTTGGATCGTGTGGGCCATCTCTGGGCCAATCAGAGGGAAGAATATTTTTTCTTGTTAGAAAGGAATGAGCTCACAAGTCACGGAAAGACTCTCAGGAAGGTTAAATGCATGTTGCTAGATAAAAGAACCAACAAAAAGCCTGATTTCTCTGCGATTCCAACTACGTGTCTTCTGGAAAAGGCAAAACTATGGAGATGGTAAAAAGGTTAGTGGTTGCCGGGGGCCAGCGGGGAGGGAGGGATGGACGGGTGAGCTCAGGATGTTTAGGGCAGGGAATGTCTTCTGGAGGTTACTGGCGGTGGGCACATGTCCCCATAGCATCTGTCAAATTTCATGGAATGTACACCAGCAAGTGTGAGTCCTCATGTAAACTAGGGGCCTTAGTCTCATAATAAAGTAATCCCAGGGGCTCCTCAGTCGTGACAAGGGAGCCGATCAGCGCAGCCAGAGAGATGCCTGGCACCAAGGTGAGATGTTAGTAATAGGGGAACTGGGGTAGGGGGCGGTTGTGGAAACTCTCTGCACTTTCTTCTCAATTTTCCTGTAAACCTAAGACTGCTAGCAAAAAGTAAAGTTAAAATTAACTTTAAAAAAACTGAGATGAAGAAGTGGGAGGGACGTGGCCCGGCAAGGGACAAAGGTTCAGGCAGGTGCACGTGGGTGCCTATGGGAACGCGGTATGGACACGTGTGCACTGCACACCCGTGAGCCTACTGATACCCGTGTGAGTGACAGCTTCGCCACAGCCTTCCCAGAGCCCACTTTTCTCCTTTTAAAACCATTTTGCTAACGTCAAGGTGTGTCACAACTCCTTCTTACCTCTGCTGATTTTCTTTTTTTGAGATGGAGTCTCGCTCTGTCACCCAGGCTGGAGCACAGTGGCACGATATTGGCTCACTGCAACCTCTGCCTCCCGGGTTCAAGCGATTCTTCTGCCTCAGCCTCCCGAATAGCTGGGACTACAGGCGGGTGCCACCATGCCTGGCTAATTTTTGTATTTTTAGGAGAGACGGGATTTTGCCAAGTGGGCCAGGCTGATCTTGAACTCTTGGCCTCAGGTGATCTGCCCACCTCAGCCTCCCGAAGTGCTGGGATTACAGGCGTGAGCCACCACAGCTTGCCGCTTTCGCTGATTTTAACTGGAATTTTGAAAATTATCTAATAAGAGAGGCAGCTGTCACTAAACCCTCACACCAAGTTTGCGGGATTGAATTAGTACGTAACTACATGCGTATAAACATACACACAGCCATGCACACATGTGAGTCGGTAAGAGGAATGGAAGGGCAGATGCTAATTCTTGATGAGGGTGATTAGTGGCTGGGAGGTCGCAGGTGCTTTTTTCCCCTTTGGGCCTGCTTTCTTGTGTAACTCAAATAAATAAATAGACAGAAAGCCACACGCGAGGGAAGGAGTGAGGTCCAGTGTGTTCCTTTGCTCTGGACACCTGCAGTCAGCCGGAACCCAGGGCTGCCGCTAATGATTGAGGGGAGATTGGGAGCACGTCGAGGTAAAAGACGATGTGTTCTTTTTGTAATTGTCAACAAAATATTTTTAACATGCTTTTTGTTTGTTTGTTTTTTGCCCTGCTATGGTAAAATAAGTGTTTCGGTTTGGGGTCAGGGGAGAAGAAGCCAGAGATGCTGAGAAGGAACTTTCTTTTCCCTTTTCAGAGAAAAGGATTTCTGCTTTCAAATCCACCGTTTCCTGAGGCTGGGTGCTGAGTTCAGCTGCCCCTGGAGGAGCCGCAGCTCTGGGCCCCTGGCCGAGCCGCGTCTTCTTGTCGGGACAGACTCCCCACAGCCAGGGTAAGCAGCTCAGGCCAGCTGTCCTGGGATGCAACATCAGACACGCACGCTGGAATTTGACCCTTTTCCTGCCTGACACCCAGCAAAATAAACCCCAGGGCAGGGATCAATGCCTGCAACCAGAATGCAGAAGAAAGAAGAGTGACAGATACGCCCGGGGCCACAGGCCAGCGAGGCCAGGACCTCCCAGGGACAGACGCACAGCCCAGGTTTGCGTGTGAGAGTTAGGGCCTCGGGTAATAAAAATAAAACGTTTAAGGTGCCTGGCCGTGCAGGCCCTCACAGCGCTACCTGGGGCAAGGACGGAAGAAACCTCAGATCGCCGTGGCTGCTGTTGCCTGAATCACGTCCTCCCAAAATTCACGTTAGAGCGTTTACCCTCAGTACCTTGGGATGGGACTTTGTTGGAGAGAGGGTCATTGGAGAGGTAATTAAGTTAAAATGAGGCCAGGAGGGTGGGCCCCATCCAATGTAATTGGGATCCTTTTTAAAAGGGGAAATTTGGACACAGAGAGACACAGACGGAGGGCGCCCTGGAATCAGGAAAGCGGCCGCCTCCCATTTGGAACTTCTGCCGTCCAGAGCTGGAAGACGATACACTTCTATGGTTTTAGCCATGCGGCCCCAGCAAACCCAACACCGGGGCCAAAGCAGAGAGGGCAGCTGGCTTCTGACATCACACAGCACGCTGTTGAGAGCAGGGCCTTCGACTCACCAGTCAGGGACCCGGTGGTCAGAGGTGAGAGGGGCTGCCCTTCCGCTATGGGCCCAATGCCCAGCTCTGGACGTGTTACTTAACCTCTCTGTGTCTCAGTTTACCGAGCTATAAAATGGTCATAAGGACAGCACCTGCCTGGTGTGCTGCTGGGGGGATGAAAGGAGGCGATGGTGTGGGCTCCCAGACGGCCCGGGCATTGCCCTGAGTGCCGGCCATGCCGTGAATGCTCCATCCGCATGCCAGTCAGGTGTTGCCACGCCGCTCTTGCTGATGGGGACCAGGAGGGTCAGAGCAGAAGGCCGTGCTTGCCCAAGGTCTCACAGCCAGGAGCCCGCCTCCCACTGGTCCCTGTGCTGCCCTGGGTGCTGCCGCTGTGCACTGGAGGGGCCGCTGCGTGGAGGAGCCAGAGGAGACGGTGCTGAGGACAGAGCGTGGGTGCTGCCTGCCCCTGGCTCCCAGAGGACTGGGTCTCAGAGCTGCTCCGCACATACCCTGACCTTGAGGAGAGTCAGAGGCACCCCTCCCTCCTCCACTCGCTCAGGTGAGCATTCAAAGCCTCATGGTTAAACAGGAGCATAGTTGCCATGGTGATTTCAGAGGTGAGTGCAGTGTGGACCCTGGCCCTGGGAAGGTCACCGTTTGATGGAAGATGCCAGACTCACACCTTCACTCACTCACTCGTTCCCTCCTTTATTCCTTCCGCAGAGCTTCCCCCATGACCTACCTGGGGCCAGGACTCAGTCTCAGAGCCAAGGAGAGCATGGTTGGGAGGAGCTTCAGGCTCTCCAGCATCCCTGCCCCCAGGTGGGCACACACCTGTGAACTCTCCTCCAGAATGTGGCAGGGCTGTGAAGACCGTGGATGTGCTCCTGGGATGAGGTGACTTTATATGGCAAAGGTGGCCGGACTTCTGCAGGTCTTAACTAAGGTCCTAACCAGTTGACCTTGAGTTAATCAAATTGGAGGTTATCCTGGGCAGGCCCAAGCTAATCAGGTGAGGCTTTAAAAAATGGTCTTGGAAGTCAGAGACTCTCCTGCGAGATTGGATGCAAGCCCCATGAGGCACAGGTGCAGGGAGATAGCTTCTTCTACTGCTGCAAGAGCTTGGAAGAGGGTCCCAAATCTCAGAGGACACCCCAGCTCTGGTCGGCACCTTGACGTCAGCCCCACGAGACAGAAGACCCAGCTACGCCATGTCCTGACTGCTGACCCACCCAAACTTTAGGACAATAGATAAATGCCATTTTAAGCTTTTAAACCGGTGACAATTTGTTATGCAGCAATAGAAAACCCACCCAGAGGAGACATTTCCGGAGCCAGGCACAGATTCTGCGGTGGAGAAGCTGGGAGCGGAGCGGGAGATGCTTCATCTGTTCATTCACACCCGTCTCACCGTTCAGCCGGCACACGGGCTGAGCTCCCGCTGCGTGCTGGGCAGAGGGCCTGGCCTGCGGGGGCTCAGCATGTGAGTAGCCGGGGTCCTAAGGACCGACACTGGGCCAGTGGGACTGGCACGAGGTACCGTGGGCAGAGGGGCTCTCAGAAACACCAGGTGTGCCCTGCTTTGGCTGCGGAGCCTCAGCTGGGTCTGGGACAGTCACTCTGAACTGGCTACCAGGGTGCCGGGCACGGGATAGCTGTGGTCCCACCAACCTTCTCTGGTCCATCCACTCCCACCCAGGCTCCTCCCCAGGCTTTGAGCGCAGCCCTTAAACCATCCCAAATCCCAGCCCCCACACCGTGGGTTGGATCTGCCTGTCTGTTCCCTCAGATGGCCCCCCACGTGACTGGTCAGGTGAGTGCCCAGGGCCTTGCTATGCTGTCCCGACCATCCAACGGGCTGCCTGCCCATGCCACTGGGACAGTGTGTGGCCTGGGGGTGCTGCCCTGGGCTCCCCCGAGTTTAAACACGACCCCGACCCTGCCTGCTGCATGGAACACACAGAGCCCTTCAGGGAACAGGGCTGAAGCCCAGGCCCTGCCACCTCCTAGGGCCCCACTACCTGTCCAGATGCCTCGTGCTCCATGGGGTCCCCAGAGCTGAGGCAGCCAAGGGTCAGCCCCAGTACTGCCAGCATCTGGGGCTGCTTGGAGCCTGGCACCCTCCACCGCTCCAAGCTGGGCCCTTCACAGTTGGCTGGGAGCTTCCCCCAGCGCGTCACGCTGATCCTGCCCACCACCTTGAATCAGGCCCACTCACTAGACCCACCTCACAGGAAAAGCCACCGAGGCTCAGCTTGGAGATGCTGCTTGCCCGAGGGCACTCAGAAAAACAGGAGATGCCAGCAGCGGAACCCATGGCGACCCCAGGTCTTTGCTTACCCGAGGACCTGCAGATGCGCATTTGGGTGGTGTCCAGCTTGGGGCCGTTACAAATAAAGCCAGTGGGAACCTTTGTGTCCAAGATCTGGGGAGGCTGCGTGCTTTAATTTCCCTTTGGAGAAGACCCAGGAGTGGGATGACTGTGCCACTCGCAGATGGGTGTTTTGCTTTGGAAGAATCTGCAAAAGAGTTTTCCGAAGAGGTGGTGCCCCTGGGGTGGGAGGGGTCCAGCAGCCCCGTGTCCTCGCCAGCACTGAATTGGTCAGTCCTTTTTGTTTCAGCCTCCTACCAGCATTCTTCATACCTGGTGACGAACAGGCAGGCGTTCTGTTTGGACGGGCGTGGCTTTGAACCCTCGCCCTTCTGCCTCCACACCATGGCCACCGGCACGTCATTTAACCTCCTGGACCCCCTGCTTCTGGATGGTGGGATAGCTGGATTCACATGGCCCACAGTGGATGGTTGAGCTGATCCCCTGCCTTTCCCACTGGGCTGTATGTCACCTGTCCTGCGGGTCTTGCCCGGCCGCCATCACTCACAGTGTCTAGCCCACTGTAGCTGCCCAGCAAGGATTCCACTGAAAGGATGACCATCCTGGGGCCCCGCTCGTCCAGCTCGTCTCCCTCTCCCCAGCACCTTCTCCCTCATCATTGCAGCTTCCATTTTGCCCTCACTCTCTGCAAAACAGCTGCAAGCAAGCCCAGGTCTCCTGTGCCGGGGGCCCGGGCCCAGGGGAATGGCTGCTCCATATGACCTGAGAAGTCAGAAGGGGAGTAGCCAGGTCTAGGGTGTGGCCTGGAGGAACCTGAGCTGCCACAGGCCCGCAGCTAGTGACTGGGAACCCTGTGCGAGCCCCCAGGGGCCCTTGATTTATGGTGATATGACCTCAGTGTGAGCGTGCTTTCTGGAGACCTCCACTGTGCTTCTAAGTGGGGCCCCAGAAAGGACAGAGCCCTGTGCGCTCCTTCCAGAGTGAGGCTTGTCCGCTTATTTTATGGTGCTAGGAACTGTCTGGAAGGGGGGCTGCAGGGCCGGGAAGGAGGCCGTCGGGAGGGCGTGTAGGGCCCTGAACAGGACTGCCCTGCTCTGCTCCTCACATCCGGGTAACTCCATGCCTCCATTTTCTCCCCTGTCAAATGGGTGGCAAATTTACACCCCTTTGAACAGAATACCTGCCTGGTCCTCACCTGGTGTGGAACCCAGCAGGGCTAGCCCATTCCCAGAAGAGAAAAGCAAGAACAGTTTTCCTCTTAGCTGGTCACAGACACCAAGTCCCGAGGCTGGGCTGCATGTGCTGCGATCTCTCCCATCACGCCCACCCGGGAGGCAGCCCTTGTGCTGCAGTGGAGGGCGTTCTGGACGCTCTCACTCTCTCACCTATCAGTCTTTTCCACCCTCTGCCTCCCTGGGGACGCAAGGCTCTGGGGCTCAGAGCGTAACCAGGGGCTCCACCTGGGACTGGGGGAAGCGGTTTTTCCCTGTGTGTCCCTGGAGGGGCCCTGAGTCTCCACCTCTCCCTGGCGGAGCAGCTTCCACGCAAACCCTGACTCTCATGACTAGAGGCGACATCCCCTTCTTCCCTCTGAAGCCTCATTTGTGTCGCCAGGTCTCTCTTTATGGAGTAGGGTGCTGATGGGGTGAGGCTGTGGATCTGCAGAGACAGGACGCACAGGTCTGTGGATGAATTCCTGATCGTGGATATGGATGGGGAGAAGCCAGGAGATCATAGAGCCTTCTGGATGGAGCTAGTGGAGGGGGGCGGGGTTTACTGAGATGGGAAAGACGGGGGGTGGGGTGGGTTGCCTGGGAAAGGACTGGACACCAGCTTGGACATGATCTGCTTGACATGTCTGGGAGACCCCAAAGGGAGATGTCAAGTGGATGGCCGGATATGTAGGTCCAGAGTTCAGAGGAGAGGTTGTGGCTGGAGAGACATATTTGGAAGTCATTGGCATAAGGATATTTCAATCCATGGGAACAGATGAGGTCACCCAGGGAGAAGAAGGGTAGAAAGAAAAGAGAAGAAACCAAGGAACCCTCAAATCCCATGGGACCAGGAGCCCCATGCGATCAGGGATTGTAGTTTTTCATGCATCGCTGCACCCTGGCCTCAGAGGTGTGCCTCCCTGAGGCACCCCCAAAATCCTTGCTGATTGCAGGAGAGAGGCGTCTAGGGGTCTACAGGGGAGCAGCTAGTGGGACAGCAGGAAAAGCGGGGAGTGGGGAACTGGAGATCCTGGGAGAAGAGAGTGCTGGGAGGGCGGAGTGGCCTCCTGGAGGGGAGGGGAGCGTGGGCCTTGGGATGAGGGCTGCAGTGTCTGGGGGGTCTCTGATGGAACCACCTGCATAGGTTTGTCGGCCAAGGCCAGAAAGAGTTCTTGAGAAGCGGGAGGAGCAGGTAGGGTCACAAGGGGGAAACAGGGGAATGAGACCCGAGACGGACAGACATTGGACACACGGGGAAAGGGGAGCAGACATGGCTGCCCTAGCCACAGTGCCCGTGAGAGGAGCCGACGGGCGCCCGGGCAGCCGAGGGCAAAGTGCAGAGGCTCAACCTCCAGGACATCTGCACAGCCAGGAGGATCAGCCACGGCTTTCAGGAGTTTTCTTTCTTTGTCTCTATTTGTGAAATTAAAATTAAACTCTCAAATCAGCTAGGGAAGCTGGAGCGCTGGTCCCAACCCTGACAGGACCCACACC